GAGTTTATTGGTCCTTTTTAGGTATACACTAAAGTTACATTCATCATTGGGCTCTTGTACCTTTACATGACAGGTCTTGGTTCTCATTTTTTTCCCCTTGTCCCTGCCTTCCCTTCACCCCCTCCTCCCTTCCCTATTAACAAAACCTTTTTTCCCATTTTTTCATTTTCTCATTTTTTTTTATTTTCCCTTATTTCCTTTCCCCTACCCTTCCCACTTCCCTTACACCTTTAGCCCTTTTCTTCCTATTTCACATTATCAATTATACCACTTGGATCTTATTTACACTTTTAGTTTTTCACACCAGAGAAACTATATGGTATTTACACATGCGTGACTTATTTATTTCACTTAAAAGTATAACCTCAATATGCATCCATTTTCCTATGAATGACTCTAATCTCTCATTCTTTATGGCTGAGTAGTACTCCGTTTTATAGAAAAACCACATCTTCATCCAGTCTTCAATTGATGGGCAATTGGGCTGTTTCCAAGTTTTAGCTATTACAAACTGTGCCACTATAAACATGGGTGAATATATATTGTTGTGGTATGATTCTTTTGGAAAGATACCCAGCAGAGGGATGACTAAGTCAAATGGAACCTCTAATCTTATTAGATAAATGTAGTGATTCTCAAAAAGACATACACTCAAAAAGTGAGTCTCAAAGTGTCATTTGCAGATCAAGATGATTTTATAAACCTAAATAAGCTTCTAATTATTCAAATTGTGGGTGAAATGTCCCTAAGGTAGAAATACTCACCATAAAAGGTAGGTAGAGCTAGGAGGAAGGATACCATTGCTCTGTACACAATCATTCTTCCAACCTGATCCTCTCTCTGAGTATACATCACAGAAAGTTAGAAGGCAATGGTCGAGGCAGAAAAGCAAAATTGTCAGGTTCTGTGGTGACCTCTTCATTTCATTCAAATATAACCTAAAAGTCTTACAGTAGCCTGCCGTAGCTCACCATCTGCCCCCAACCACTACTCTCTGCCACCATCTCTGAATTCATTCAGCTCAGCCCCACCAACATTTCCATTTTTCTTTTAACACACTAGGCAGGTTCTTGTTTTAGAGCTTGGAACTGTTGCTACACATCCCCACATTATCGTTCCCCCAGATACCGACAATGGCAACCCTTCACTCCTTTAAAGCTTTGGCTCTACTGTTACTTTCTCCTGAGACTCACTCTTATCATTTTATTTAATAATTACTACTCATATCCTCCATCCCCTTGGGCACTCATTACTCTTTACTTACCATAGTTTTCTTTACTTAAAAAAATCTTTTTCCACTGTACTTACTGCCTTCTGATAGGCCATGTAAGATGTTAATTTTAACACATCTATTATTTGTTTTCTTTATCCTCTTACTAAAATGTAACCACTATAAGTGGAGGGATCTCTTTTGTTTTGTTCATTGACATATTCTAGACCATGTCTATTAGATACTATTCATTTGAATTTGCTGAATGCTGAATAGCTGAATGTAGCTTCATTCATTTAGCTTTTTGTGTCCTCCAACATATACAAGCTGTAGGAACTCAAATGAGTTAATCAACGTTATTGAATAAAATGTAGGCAATGGCTGTACCTTATTCACTGGATTGTCTCCTGAATGAAGTAAGATTATGCATTTAGCGCATAGCATGGCATACAGAGAGAATGCACTATCAGCTACTAACAAAAACATAAAGCAAATCAGAACCTGAGCTTAGAAAAGTGTCTAATTCCATTCAGGACAAAACATTTCTAGATCTTTCTCCTGAGTTATAATTGAAAGCTCAGAGCTTTAGAATTAAAAGATGCTTTCACCCCCCCAAAATTTTTCCATGCTAGAAGTTGTAGACCTGAAAGTTATCACTTTCCAACCTAGTATCTCTTGTCCATATAAACTTTGCGTCATCTGCTGACCTGGAGATCTTACCAATTACTTAATTTTTCTTTCAGATACATAAAAGACAAATAAATTTAAACCATCCTAGTGCTAGTTCCTAGGATCTTTATATTTGCTTATCCTTACTAACAAGTAACTTCCTTTTATTTGTCACTTTCTCTTATCTAAACTTGGGACTCAGTCCTGCCAAAGATTGAGTTTGGCCTTTCTCAGAAGGAAAGGGTCAGATTTGGGACAGGACTCCAAACTCTTCCTCCTTCATCATTCTCATAAGTCTGTGCCTCTTTCAGATAACAGGAGACTCAGAGTAACAACAGTAGACTTCAGTCCCCTCCCTCTAGCTTGTAAAAAGAAGTCTTAAGTGAAAACTAACAAGAATTATTCTAGCCACTGAAAATATGAAACACACACACACATGCACACACACACATGCACACACCATACTGTGATCATGCCCTTTCATTTGAAGAAAGGATATAAAAAGAACTAAAAAAAATTGAAAAACAATGTGAGAGGCACAATCATTGTGGAAAAAGTGACAAAAAGAAAGATGGAATCACAAACTCATGCTAATACTTCAGGAGAGAAAAAATATCCATTATCCTTAGAAAGCATCAAAGGAAAAACAGAAGTGGTTGGTATTATGTGAATAAGCTATGAAAAAGTTCAAGGGAGCAAAATTAAAAGTAATTAAATAAAATGGCTTCTCCAGAATGTAACTTCTAACTGCAAGATTGAAGTTTCTCTTTGTATATTAAAGGAAACTGGAGAGAAAAAAATTAAGGCTTAGCCTTGGTAATACATATGAGTGTTAGTATTCTTTCCAATTTTAAATTGATGGATGATTTTTGGTTCATTTAATAAAGAAACGCAATGATCCATCTTTTGAAAGAGTTAAGTGTAAATTAACCAAAAATACTTGTGCTCGCCAAACATTTCAGTCATAAAGTAATTTAGTTTTGTCAGGGAGTTGCTAATTTAAACAAGATGACCTACCCCACACATGGCATTCTTGCATTACTAGCAGATTCTTGGCTAATAGCATCATAATTTCCAAAGAGTACTGCAGAAGACAAACACACAGTAGTGACATTATTGTGACATATGCCACAAGCATTGCTTACTGAGACCATCTCAGGCCTACTATTTTTCTGATCAGAAAATACCTTCTGATGGAATAAAACATTAGTGATGAGGATGACAGAGTAAGTAAAATAAACTGGGAAAGGCCTTTCTCGGAATCACCACTTTTCCTTTGTAGTTTTAGTGGAAGTTTTGATTTACTGTACTACCTTTGCTTTTAGGTCATGGTGGGAGACTCACTTCCATCTTTTCCTTTGTGTTATGTGGTGTGGTTACTAATGGGAATGATGATGGTGTAGGGTTGAGTCACAGTCAAGAGCGGGGGGAAAAAAGCTGGTTGTAATTGATTATCACTTTTCCAGATACCATGTGAGTTATAAATTATAAGAGGGGAGGCAGGGATTTAGCTCAGTGGTTCTGCTGCCTGTCTTGCAAGCACAAGGACCGGAGTTGGATCCCCGGAACCAAAAAAAAAAAACATATGGCAACAACTGAAATGTCATTTTGCTGGGTGTGGTGGCGAATGCCTGTAATCCCAGCACATGGGAGGCAGAGGCAGGAGAATCACTGTGAGTTTGAGACCAGCCTGAGCTACATAGTGAGTTCCAGGTCAGTCTCAACTACATAGTGAGACCCTGTGTCAAAATAAAACAACAAAAAAGAGAAGGACCTTTCATAATAGCAATGACAAATGTAAATAGAAAAAAATCAAAGGACTACTATGTAGTAGTAAGCACTTATTGTATGTGATACACAGTTGAGCTTATAGACAGTCACAGACTATCTTACGGAAACAGCAGATCCATTCCAAAGAGAAACCACAGGTATATAAGAATTTTAAAAACAAAACATTGGTTAGGTTTACAAATGGATAGAAATTGTTTACCTTGGCAGATACGGTTCATCAAGGGAGAAATTGTTGAAGGGAAGAGAGAGATTTAAATTAGTGTGCTACATCAGAGTCATGGGGGAATCTTCGCTGGCACAGTCTTGTTTAGCCCTGACAGTCTGTAAAACTGCTGTTGTTCTGTTTTATTTGTGGGGCTCCATGTCTTGTTAAATTCAAGTGTGGCTTCCTCACCATCTCAGTAATGAGGCAGCCTCCTGATAGTTTGGCTTTTACAGGGCAGTTGGGTAATTGTGCTGAGTTGCGATAGAGCTATGACGGGGGACACCTAATGAGACCATAGCAAGGGTGGAACAAGCAGGTCTAAAGGAAGAAGCCACTACTCTCTGGATTTGGGAGCGCAGGAGAGGGGACTTTTACTCTGGGCCTTAGTGACATACTTTTCTCAGGTAGGATGAAAACTCCTACGGTGAAGAACGTGGCCCCCATAAAGTGGTTAGCCAAGAGATCCTATGGGACAGGACCAGCTAGTCCCAGAGTGCAAATAGCACATGTAAGCCTGACCCTCTGGATTCGTGTTATTCTCTGGATTGTTGCTATTTCCCTGTTTTTGCCCTCACCCCACCCCACCCTTCAGTAGCTCATCTAAACATGCTGTTCTCCCAGTGGCGTGACTGAGAACCGAGAAGAATCACATGTCCACGTGTGCAGCTCTGAAACGTGCACGGTGGTAAATGTGGTGATGGCAACCTGGGTGAGGGTTTCTTAGTCTTGAGTCTAGCTACTAATCCCAGAGAAGAGATCTGTCAATTAGTAACGAGAGTGTGAAGTAATTTTACTTTAAGAAAAGCTATAGTTTCCTTCCTGTCGGGTGAGATAGCAAGTAACAAAGTGGGAGTCTCCATCTTCAGTCTTCTGTCATTTAAAACCACAGCTCTTTCTACCGCCACACCCAACTGAGCACTAAACAGGGACAGCATGTAACACAGCTTTGCATGAGACAGAGATAAGCTGCACTATGGAACATTCCTCAGGAAGATCAGCAGAGTATTACTGATCCATGGGATAAAATGTACTTAGATGTAACCAAAGATATAAGAAAAGAACCAGAATGGACAACAATTCAGCAAAGCAATAACCACCAGTGTCAAATGCTGGATTTTCTCCTGGTTTCTTTTTTCTAAAGTCTCCTGTGCCAATCCGTCTCATCTCCACAGTTAAGAGGAAACACACGTTTACAACTCATCACCTGCTCTTCACCATCACATGCATTGGTTATGAGGGTGCACCATGATCAGACACATTCTATAATCCACCCCACACGTCCAATCTTCCTATGGCAATGTCAGCTGTGACTTAGCCAGTCACACTTGCTGATGTGCTTCCATGTGTCCTCAGTGTTTTCAAGAAATCTTGCAGCTTCTGTGCTTGAAATGATGAACTTGCAAAGGAGAAAAAGCTGAAGGTGAAGAGAAAAGTTTGCCTTTATCATTAGGTTACTAAAATCTAAATTTTGAATTTGTCAGTTTTGAAACTGCTGAGCTGCTTTTCTGCAGTTTGGATACAATGACTGGTACATAATTATGGAATATTTATGCGCAACATCATTTCACATCCAGAAATGGCTGAAGTTGAGCCTACCTTCACAACTGATCTGCAAATGGCTCTGCTTTGCTTCTCCAGGTGAAGATGACCTGAAAAACAAAACAATCAAATATGTAAAAGAGGGAGTAGGGAAGGACAAGAAAAAGAACTAGCTTTAAAGAAGCACTTATGTTATAAAGTGACAAGATGCTTTGTGTCTGGGCTCATATACCAGTTTTGAGGGCAAGTCCAACACAGAGACTAAAATATTGTAAGCAAGGGAAGCATTAACTGTCTAGTTTTTCAAACTTTCCAAGAGCATAATGCCCAAATGTTCTTTATGTGTGTTACTATATCTGTTTTTAAAAATTGAATGCCTGTGATTCCAATGAATGCCTGTAATTCCAATATTTTGGAGGGGTAAGACAGCAGTATTGCAGCATTTTGAGTCCAACTTGAATCCCGTGGCAATTTAGCAAGAGTCTGACTCAAAATAAGAAAACAAGAAAGGATGGAGGATGTAGTTTAATGAAAAGGCCTGGGGGTCAAAAGAAAAGTCATTTTTGCTTTCTGCTTTCATAGCCATCATTGAAATAAAATATATCCAAATTTTAATAATAATAATGTTTAACAAAAATGCCAAATTTTGGCTTCAAGGCAATGGACATTGTTAAATATGCCAAAATGTTTTATCTTAGGATATGGATGTTTGTTTCGTTTGGAAACTCCTTTGGAGTTTTCTCTGTATTCCTCATCTTCTATACTGAGAATATATTTGTCTTGTAATTAGAATAAAATTTTAAAAGCTCATTCATACTGTATTCTGGGGATGTTAAGCAGTACCTTTTTTTTTTTTTTTTAGAAAAAAAACAAAATTTCTTTTCAGAAGGTAAAGATAAGGTTCATGGAAGTATTATATAGCCACTATGGTAGGCACCCTATTGAAAGAACTGTCTTTGAGTTACTCTTATGATCCATAATATTAACTCAGCAGATGTCCATTTTCTCTGCTCTGGGTGGCACATTAATTTTCCCTCATTGGTTTCCAGGGAGTTCTGTGCAAGGACAAGATTTCCAGGGAAAAGAGCTAGGACGTGGCTCAGCAGACAGTCCGCATCTCCCTTCCTGGGTTCTCTTCACTGTTTGCTTTATAGCACAGACATGTTTTTGGCCAAGGAAGCATCGGTTTACTAAATTTTCTTTAAAATGTCCCTGGGTTTCAATTAAGGAGAATTTCATTTAGAGAAATGAACATGGGGGCTTTCATAACACAAAGGATTTGAAAAAATGAACAGTTTGGCAGTTAATGTAGAGTACAAAAACTGAAGTTAAAATCGTGTTGCATTTGGGATTTTATTGTTATGTAGATTTTAGCTGCTTTTATCATACAAAAAATTAATGATGTAAGATGATAATGTTTATGTACTTTACTATAAAAATCATCTTACTATTTATATGTATCCCAGAAAATCACATTGTAAACCTCAAATATACACAATAAAATTTACTTCTAGACAAACAAAAAATACTCATCACATTTATTTCTCACATTCAGTCATGTCACTCACACCACTTGAGACAAAGCTTTATGTTATTGGTTCTTAAGGTTCTTTTAAAATGATTATCCATCAAAAATTATTCTATGTGCTCACAATGTAATTTAAGAAAACGAAGTTCTTAACTGTTCCGAGGACTTTCTTCTCTATCCCTACTGACATTGACTCTGCTGATTCATGAAATAATACAAAACCTGATTTTTAACTGTCGTACATTAATGAATAGAAGTTAAAAATTTGATCCTTCTGGTTTTCATAGTTTTCCCCTGATTCCATAAGGAACACTTGAGGGATCAATATGCATGTTTCTCTAAATTTGAGTTTAGATCTTGCTCTCTAAAATAGGCTGTAGTATCAGAGTGACACCTGATCTTGTCAGTGGATATTAATTCAATAATGAAGCAGAAACAAAACAGAAATATTCTCATGTTCTTTTTCAGACACTGGCTGCTGAGCTTTACTTCATTAATGTGTTTTAAGGGCAATTCACCTCCATCTTTTTTTCTTTATATGCATGGACATTAACGTCCATTTAATCAGAAAGTATGACATGGTATTATTTGAGAAACTATTAGTTAATAGCCCCTTTCACAATGTACAAATTTCAAGGTTGCCTCACTTCCCTATATCTTAATTAATAGATCCTATTACCTAAATGTAAATATTTATATATAAAAATTGAAGAAAATATAAGGTACAACCGCCATGGTAACATTTCCTTATGAAAGTATTAATAAAAGTTAAGAAGACAGAATACCTAGAAATCACTCCTTTAGTCACAAAGCCAGTATTCTGATGGGGTGATTTTTGAAATTCACAGTATTATTGATTTCAAAAAAATGTTCTGATCACTAAAGAAAATAGTCCAATAGATTTGCCTGATCTGATCTGTCTGTCCAGAGCCTTCTACTCTGCTGACTGAGCTTTGATCACATTGATAGAAGAAATGCTTTACTGCAAGTCAGAATAGATACAGGTATAGACAGGCAGAGGAATAGATATAAATACACTTATATATTTATGCATCACATTTATAGGCCACTTATCTATGAGAATTTATATTATTTCCTTATCTTAGCTACTATGAATAGTGTTAGAGTAAACACAGGAGTGAGTGCACATATCTTTTCAAGATGAGGATTTCAACAATAGTATATTAGAATTCCCTTTCATCATACCCTTACCACTGTTTATCATTTTTTTGTAATACCCATCATTATGAATATGAGGTGATATCACAGTGCTCTTTGTTTGCATTTTCCTGAAGATTAGTGATTTGACTATTTTTTTATGTACTTTTTGGTCATTTTTATGTCTTCTTTAGAGAAACATCTGTTCAAGTCTATTGCTCCTTTTAATTGGATGATTTTCCTTTTATTGAATTATAAGAGTTCTTTATAAATATCTTAGCAGATATATGGCTTGCAAATATATTTTCCAGTCCACCATCTGCATTTTATTTTATTGCTTATTTTCTTTGCTGTGCAGAGATTCTTAGTTAGAAATGGTTTTATTCTGTAAAAATTTTTTGTAGCCTAAACTTTTGGTCTCTAACAAAAGAAAATTGTTGCTAAAGCCAGTGTTTCAGAGATTTTCCTCTATGTTCATTTTTAGAATTTTTATTGTTTAAAGCATTACATTAGGGTTTTTAATCAATTTTGAGTTAATTTTGTGTAGGTATCTAATTTTTTGCATATGGAAATCATGTTTTCTCAAAATCATTTATTGAAAATACTGTTCTTTGTCTTTGTGTCTCTTTATGCCATTGTTAAAAATAGTTGGCTATATATGTGCTCATGTATTTCTGGGCTCTCTATTCTGTATCATCGGTCTGTGTGTCTGTTTTCATGCCAGTGCCATGTTATTTTGATTAATGGAGTTTTGCAACACAATTTTAATTCAGGAAATGCAATGTCTCTGACTTTGTTTTTCTTACTCAGAATTGTTTGAGCTAGTCAGAATCTTTTATGGTTCTATATAAAGTTTAGAATTGTTATTTCTATGTGAATGATGTCATTGAAATTTTGACAGGAATTGTGTCAAATCTGTATATAGTTTTGGTGGTATGGACATTTTAACAGTATTAATTTTTCTGATCTGTGATAATGTGATATCTTTCCATTTATTTGCATTTCCTTCTATCTCATTAACCAACATTTTATAGTTTCATTGTACAGATGTTTTGCCTCCTTAAGTTTATTCATAATTCTTCATGTGTAGAAATATTACTAATTTTTATCTGTTGATTCTGTATACTGCAGATTTACTGAATTTATTTATTTGATCTACTCTGTGTGGGGGGGTTGTGTGTGTGTACTCTTTAGAGGTTTATAAGTATAGAAATATGTATCTACAAATTCTTTGTCTTATCTTCCAATTTAGGTGTCTTTTTTTTTTCTTTTTCTTGTCTAATTGCTCTTGCTAGTAATTACAGTTACTAGCTGAATACAAGTGGTACACATTGGCATCCCCACCTTGAACAAAATCTTAGTAAAAGTATTTTCAGTTGTTCACCATTAACTATATGTCAGTTGTGGGGTTTCTGTGGGTTTTTTTGCAATAAATGTACTTTCTTACATTGAGGAAATTTACTTCTATATCTAAATGTTAAGGGGTTTTATCAAGAAAAGGTGCTGTACTTTGTTGAATATTTTTTTCTTGTATCAGGAATGATCATGTGGATTTATCTTTTCATTTTGATAATGTGACATAGCACATTGTTTTATTTGCATATTTATTCAAACCAGTCTTCTAGATCAGTAATAGATCCCACCTGATCATGATGTATGATATTTTTTACATGATGTTGAATTTGGTTGAATTTTAGTGAAGATTTTTGATGAGATTAATATGTGGTGATTAAAACACTATGCTTCAGAACAACCAATGGGTCAAAGAAGAAATCACAAGATCAGTGAGGACTTCCCAGACAACAAGGGAACTAGGCTGTTTCCCCACCCCCTAGCGCCTGGGCCACCATCAGAGCAAACATGTGAGCACTGCCCAGCCGTGTGGGTGTGCCTGCTGCATCGCCCCACCCCATGCTCTTGAGCTTCCTGCTTGTGCGGGTACCTGGATCCACACTGCAGAGGCACAGGTCGTCATAAAGGCCATCGTACTGACCTCCAGAAGATAGAACGGAAGTAAACAATTGCAGAAAGGCACACCAGACCTCTTGTAGTTGGTAAGTTGAAGGGATCACCACCTCCCATCAGAACCTGGACTATCTTGAGGGGAAGGGCAGCAGGAACCTGCCATAGAACCTTGCAGAGTTTAACCCGGTAGGAGGTCAGGGAGCCCAACTTGGGCCTTGGAGCCAGAATTAAGCCTGAATCTTCAGGGGTCTGCTGTTAGCTAGCTAGACTAATTGACATAGTTCTGCACATTGCTGCCCACATTGTCTACTGTGACAGCAGAAATATACCCTGAAAGAGGCCCTTCAAATTTTTTTCTTTCTTTTCCTCTTATTTTTAATTTTATTTTTTCCACTCTTCAAATTCTTCCTTTTTTCTTTCTTTCTTCTTCTTCCCACTCAATCTCTTGCTCCCCCACAT